AATTTTATTGTCATGTGTATTATAGTTTTCATTTTTCATATTTCTGGCATTTCTGGAGTTTCTCAGATCTTACGGATTTATAGTTTTTATCAAGTTTTGAAAAGCTTTGGTTATTCATTTTTCAAATATTTTTTCTGCCATCTCTCTTTTCTCTTGGGAGTGCAATTACATATATACTATGATGCTTTCAGTTGGCCCAAGACCTGCTGATGCCCTGTTCATTTATTGTCCATCTTTTTTCTTCCTGTGCTTTATTTTGGATTGTTTCTATTGCTATTCTTTTCTTTGCATTGTCTTAGCTGCTATTAATCCCATCCACTGCATTTTTCATTTCAGATGACTTTTTTAACTCTAGGAATTAAATTTTTAAAAATATCTTTCAGGGGCGCCTGGGTGGCGCAGTCGGTTAAGCGTCCGACTTCAGCCAGGTCACGATCTCACGGTCCGTGAGTTCGAGCCCCACGTCGGGCTCTGGGCTGATGGCTCAGAGCCTGGAGCCTGTTTCCGATTGTGTGTCTCCCTCTCTCTCTGCCCCTCCCCCGTTCATGCTCTGTCTCTCTCTGTCCCAAAAATAAATAAACGTTGAAAAAAAAATATCTTTCATGTCTTAGTGTGCTCATATTTTCTTCTTTCTTGAACACAGGAACTACATAACTTTTTTTGTAGTTACTTATTTGTATTAGTTAAAAACATTAAAATTTTTATTGCAGTGTAATTGACATACAATGTTATATTAGTTTCAGGTATTCTACATATTGATTCAACAGTTTTGTATGTTACCCAACACTCACCCTAAGTGTAGCCACCATACAATGTTACCATACAATGTTATTATAATACTATTACAGTATTATTTACTATATTCCGTATGCTGTACTTTTCATCCCTATGACTTATTTATTTTATAACTGGGAGTTTGTGCCTCTTAATCCTCTTCACCTGTTTTGCCCCTTACCCTACCCCCTCTCCTCTGGCAACCACCAGTTTGTTCTCTGTATTTATGAGTCTGTTTCTGCAGTTACTTTAATTGCCTGTTATTCATGGTAAATATCTTAATGCATTGCCTACTGGATATATGTTTTAGTAAAGGCTTGAGGGAATAATGTAAGAAGTTTTTGCTGTTTTGTCCTAGAAACCCAATGCCTTGCACCATGGAAGTGTTTCATGAAATAGTGGGTGGAAAATATTAGCCAAAAAATGGGAGTAGGCTTAGAGAGAAAAGGTAATGATAACCACCTGGACTGTTACAAGAGATTCCTCTGGTGTGAAAGTATTCTACAGCCTAAGCCCACATTTTTCTTTTGGCCCTGGAAGCAACGTTGCTTTCTCTCAGTTTCCCCTCTCTCTACTCATAAAGTATTATTATAATGAATTTTTTACATGGTCATGAATATTTCATATATATGAACAGATAAACCCTAAAACTATAAAATTTTAAAACTGAAATAAATTTAGTGATGACTTAATTCAACCTGCTCTTTTTATAGAATAGTGAACTGAGGTCCAAGTTACTGATTTGCCCAAGTTCGCAAACGTCACACAACTAGTCATTCTTTTGTTTTAAATATTCATTTATTTATTTTGAGAGACAGAAACAGATTGAGCATGTGCATACAGGGTAGGGGCAGAGAGAGAGGGAGAGAGAGAATCCCAAGCAGTCTCCATGCTTCAGTGCAGAGCCCAATGTGGGGCTCAGTCTCACGAATCATGAGATCATGACCTGAACTGAAATCGAGTCTGACTCTTAACCAAGGTGTCCTGTCATTTTTTTTTTTAATTCAAGTATGATTAATCTCCAGTGTTACATTAGTTTCAGTTGTACAAAATAATGATTCAACAATTCTATACGTTACTCGGTGTTCATCCCAGTAAATATACTCTTAATCCTCTTCACCTATTTCACCCATCCTCTGGAAACCACCAGTTCTCCATATTTAAGATTTTTTTTGGTCTCTGTTTTTCTTTGTTTCGTTTCTTAAATTCCACATATGAGTGACATCATATGGTGTATGTCTTTCTCTGACTTATTTCACTTGGTATTATATCCTCTAGATCCATCCATGTCATTGCTACTGGCAAGATTTTATTTTTATGGCTGAGAAATATTCTACTGTATATATACCACATCTTTATTCATTTATCTAATATAATTTCTAATATCCTTGTCTATTAATTTCATTATCTCTATCATATGAGTCTGTTTCTATTGATTCATTTTTCTTGCTCTTTTGTATGCATGGTAATTGTTTACTGGATGCTGGACATGATGAACTTTACCTTGTTGGATACTGAACATTTTAAACTTCAAGTATTTTTGAGCTTTAAGATGTGTGAGACACAGTTATTTGGGAGGCAGTTTGACCCTTTTGAGTCATTCTTTGAAGCTTTATCATGAAGGATTAAAATATTCTTTCTTCCAGGGTGAATTTTTCCCCATGAAGGGCAACACTTTGGAGTATCATACCCGATGTGCAGTTTATTGCAAGGTTTTCCCACTCCACTCTGACTTGGGGCTCACATGCACTGCTTCTGGCTGTGTGATCTCTGGAAATTAGTCCACCAAAGGAAAAAGAAACTTTTCAGTGGTTCTTTTTCTGACCTCAGGTAGTTTTCCTTGTGTGAATGTGCTGACTTATACTTGGCTGAAGACTCAAAAGGAGAACCCTGCAGTTCTCTGGAGCTGTCTCTCTCAGTGTAGTCATCTCCTCCCATTGCAACTGTCTCTTCACATGCAGCTCTCTCCTCTCTGATACTCTGGTGCATGAATTCTAGCAGCCATGGCCTCCAAAAATTCTTAACTCTGTTTTCTTAACATTAATTTTTCTTAAAATATCAGGACAGATTAGTGTTGAGTAATAAATTTAAAAGTGGGTTATTTTTTGGGGTGCCTGGGTGGCTCAGTCGGTTGAGTGTGCGACTTCGGCTCATGCCATGATCTCACGTCTCGTGAGTGTGAGCCCTGCATCGGGCTCTGTGCTGACAGCTCAGAGCCTGGAACCTGCTTCGGAATCTGTGCCTCCCTCTCTGCCCCAACCCACTCACATTCTGTCTCTGTCTCTCTCAAAAATAAATAAACATTAAAAAATAGTAATAAATTGTCTTATTTTCAGGGGTGCCTGGGTGGCTCAGTTGGCTCAGGTCATGAGCTCATGGCTTGTGAGTTCAAGCCCCACATCGAGCTCTGTGCTGACCGCTCAGAGCCTGAAGCCTGCTTCAGATTCTGTCTCCCTCTCTCTCTGCCCCTCCCCTGCTCGCACTCTGTCTCTCAAAAATAAATATATGTTAAAATAATCATAAAAATAAATAAAAGTGACTTATTTTCAAACATGTATTTTTGACTTTTTTTTTAAGTTTATTTATTTTTGAGACAGAGACAGCATGACTAGTAGAGGAGGGTAGAGTGAAAGAGGGAGAGAGAGGATCCCAAGCAGGCTCTGTGCTGCCAGCCCAGAGCCCAATGTGAAGCTCAAACTCACGAACCATGAGATCATATCTGAGCTGGAACCAGGAGTCGGACACTTAACTGACTGAGCCATCCAGGCACCCCTATTTTTGGCTTCTCTTCTCATCTTTTTATTAATACAATAACATTATCTAAAAGAGCCTTTAATACAAATTAAAAGTTTTAAAACCTGGGGAAAGAAATAGAAGAGCATTCATACCAGATCTGATGGTATCAGTTTAATTTTTCTTATAAATGAAAGTAGTTTGATAGTGGTTTTAAATTTGTTTGGTGAATATATTTTCTATATTATTATTTTTTTTTTTTAATTTTTTTTTTTCAACGTTTATTTATTTTTGGGACAGAGAGAGACAGAGCATGAACGGGGGAGGGGCAGAGAGAGAGGGAGACACAGAATCGGAAACAGGCTCCAGGCTCTGAGCCATCAGCCCAGAGCCTGACGCGGGGCTCGAACTCACGGACCGCGAGATCGTGACCTGGCTGAAGTCGGACGCTTAACCGACTGCGCCACCCAGGCGCCCCTTCTATATTATTTTTAAGCTTAGTAGTTATTGTTTAGTTCTTAGATGAGGTAAAAAACATTTAGGAGTATCTAAAGAGCTTTTTGCTGCATTATTCACTGCCAAATTTAAAGAATATGCAGAAGAAGGAATATGAAAGTGCCCTAGAAACTTTTTTAGTGCTCTTTTGTAATCTGTTACACCTTTCATGCATATATGGGACATTTTCATGTTTCTGTCCTTTCATTGGATTTCTACATTGGATTTTTTTTTTCTTTTAGTGTTGTAGTATACCAGAAATATGTTTAATGTCATTATTCACAACTGCTAACATATTATTTGGATTTTTCATTTCAACCAAAAATAATATGTGATGTTTGATGTTGATGTTTATATGCTATGTAAGTATTTTGCTGTAATGTTACCACATTTTGCTGTGGTTCCTGTCAGATGAAAAATTTGCCATTATCATACGCATAAAGTTTCTTTGGTGAAACTCTGAAAACTAAACAATTGTCTTGATAAAGACTGAAGCATGTATATTAAATGTTCATTCTCATTTTTGTATACTTTCTAGTCTGCACTATCAATGTAACTTTTTCTCAAGGTCAGATTTTGGTTTTTAACAGTTGACACTATCATTGACAAACTTTTAAAATTCTTCATGAATAGTCAGACTATCTGATGAGTACCCTTAATCTTTTTATTTTTCACACTTTTACATTCTCATTCTTTATTTTTTCATCTCCAAAGAATTTTTAAGACAAAGTACACTGGTTTTTTGTTTTTTCTTCAGTAAAATGAATTGTATCTAGTGATTTTTATTTGTTTTACCATTTGCCAGAATTTTGTGTGTAATGTTTTTGAAAATTTCCTACTTGTATTGTCATTGAACCATTAACTGCAACTATAAAGTCCATAACTTTTAGCTGGTATATTTAAGTTTGGGTAGGTGAGTGGGGATTTTTGTGGATAAGTAGAAATAATCAGTTTAGTGATTAAACAAGAATTCAGTACCTTTCCTCTCTTTTATGTAGTATCAAAGGTGCCGAATCTGGGATAAGTTGCATGAAGAGCATATCAACGCAGGCCGTACAGTTCAGGTAAGTCTATTACATTGTTTCTAGTAAATCAATATGAAAGACAGTCTTAAGAATATTTTGCTAAACTAAATAGTCTTGTGGCTGAATCTTTTTATGTATATTTGTAACTATTTCTTTAAGGGTGCATTTTTAGCAGGAGTCACTGAATCAAATGTCATACATATTTTTAAGATTTTGATTCATAATACCAAAATTTCCTCCAGGAACAAAGTATCAACTTAAAATCAACGCATTTTCCAAAAACCTTATGAACATTAGTATTATCAGTTTCTCAAAATTTTGCCTACTAGTAAGTTAAAATAATGTTGCTTTTGTTGTTCTAATCTGGAGTTTTTATTGCTTTGAATGGTAAAAGTTTTTTTCATATGTGTCTTGGATAGTAATATTTCTTTTGTAAATCACCTGTTCATGTCCCCTGCATATATTATGTTGTTGTCTTTAAAAAAAAAAAAGTTGATTTATCTTAAGAGAGTGTGCACATGTGCAAGTGGGGGAGGGGCAGAGAGTGGGAGAGAGAATCCCAAGCAGGCTCTGTGCTGTCAGGATGGAGCTTTCTCAGGGTTCCCTCTCCTGCTCTTTCTCTCTGCTCCTTCCCTGACACATGCATTTTTTTCTCTCTCTCAGTCTCTCAAAATAAATAAACTTAAAAAAAAATTTTTTAAAAAGAGAACTTCAAAACGATACTGTTACAGTAACATAGTATTTATTACAAGTATTCTTTGCAGTTATTGTCTTTTTAATAAATAAATGTTAATTATTTAAATTTTTAAAAATCCTGGGGCACCTGGGTGGCTCAGTCGGTTAAGTGTCCGACTTCGGCTCAGGTCACGATCTCGTGGTTTGTGAGTTTGAGCCCCGCGTGGGGCTCTGTGCTGACAGCTCAGAGCTTGGAGCCTGCTTTGGATTCTGTGTCTCCCTCTCTCTCTCTCTGCCCCTCCCCACTTGTGCTCTGTCTCTATATCAAAAATAAATAAATATAAATGTAAAAAAAATTTTTTAATTTTTAAAAGTCCTATATTTACGTAGTTAAAAGTGAAATAAAAGTAAAAGCTTTACCTTACCTTTCTCCATCTCTGTGTCCTACTTGGAAGAAACCACTTTTAATCCTTTTGGCCATTTTCCCTGGTATGTAGCTCTTTATTCCTTAATATAATGTGAGAATGCTGTTTCTTAATTAATCAGGTTCAGACATTACCTCTTCTTACCATAATAGGTGGTGATCTAGCTTTCTGCCCAACTCTGGTACTTTCTTTCCGCCTATACAAATACATACATTATAATTTTTGGTTAAATTATAAATCATTATTTTATTATTTTGATTATAAAAATACTGTTTTCTTCTAAGCCAAATAGTGAAATACAATATAGTTTTTGCTTTTTGTCTTTTTTTTTTTATTTCCTAGCTTTCTGTGTATTTGTAATTTTTTTCTAAATGCTCCACATCTTTGCTATGTGCTATCAGTAATAATTTTCATATGTCCAAATATTCTACTTCCATTCTTTATCCTGAACACTCCCTCCTGTAGCCCTCTTCCCAGTTCCAATCTGGACTTCCTTTCTAGGCTTCTTGCACAGGTGCTGTTCTGGGACTTCCTTCAGCTGCTCTTATGTGTTGGGTCCCTGTCTTCCTGGGTATCATGTCTTCCTCATTTTTGGTTTACTCCATTGTTTTGTTGGAGTACATCTCTCAGTAGCTCTCTAAATAAGCTCTCTAAATTTATGTCGGAGGTAAATTTTTAAGTTATTATGAGTCTAAAATATACCCCTTTTCTCCCCTCACATGTGACTGCTAATTTCAGTAGGTATAGAATTCTAGCTGGTATTCTTTCAGATTTGAGGGTTCTCTAGTTTAGTGTTGCTCTTAATGAAGCTGATATCGTCTGATTTCTCAATTTTTGTATGAGATCTATTTTTTTTTCCCCCTCTTTGGAAGCTTTTGTAGTCTGTTTATCCCTGGTGTTCTCAAATTTGATGATGTTGTGCTTTGTGTTGGACTCTTTCAGTCTAAAAATTTATGTTCTTTAGTTCTGGGAAATTTAAATTATTCAATATGTTATTACTCTGTGTTTTTTCTTTGCTTTTTCTTTTTTTTTTAATCTTTAATTGCAAGAATTGGCAAATGATGGCATTTTCCTTGGATGACCCTCCAGACATCAGTAGCTGGAGGTTTGCTTTGGTTCAGTTTTCTAAAGAAGAATCCTTCTCCTCTTCCTCCTCCTCCCAGGGCAAGTAGGCACTTATTTTTCAGTCATAAAAGCAGGGTAGGTGAAGGATGCTGGGCTTTCATTGTTTAGTACACGCTTTCACATAAATACCTTCTTTTAGCCCTGTGCCTGGTGTTTCTGAATCTAAAGTCTGTTTTTCCAAAGAATGCATCTCTGATCTTCTTGGATTTCAAAAAGGTTACTGTAGCTGCAGTGTAGTGAATAGATTGGGATAGAATGAAATGATTGCAAGAGATCATTTAGGAGAGATTACAGAGATAGTGGAGATAGAGAAAAACGGATTGACTTGAGGTCTAGTAGAAATTTGACCTACCTCTCTGTATGTATTTTACTGCTTGCCAACTAGATTATAAGCCTGAAGATCAGGGATTGTGTCTCTGCTATTTGTGTATATCACAGTACCTGCTGTTCGTCAAGATTCAGTGTTTATTGAATGGTGCTAAGCACGTAAATGTCAATGAGATTATTATGACTAGGATTTCTTGCCATCTTCACTGTTTAATATGTTAGTAAAAACCACTTATTTTCTTGAGACAGTGCTTATGGTCAGAGTGTTTACTGATTAAAGAATATATTGACCTCCATTAATGACCTCCATCTGGCACAAAAGATTTATGTGTGCCATAAAAATAATGAGATTGAAACTGTTTTTAGATGTAAGTATTTGCTTAGTTTTATTCATATATGCTCTGAATTTTGTGTATAGACTAGTTCTTGGCTAGTTTGTATAAAACTGATTTTTGGACAATTTCATGAACAGTTATAATAGAGTTTATAAGTTTCTCATTATTATGTATAGTAAGAACTATCTGCTCACTTTCATTATAGCGTCTTTGTGGAAAGGAATTCTTAATTTAAACATAGTCTAATTTGTCAGTCTTTTGTGGTCTTGCTTTGGGTGTCTTATTCAAGGAATACTCTCTATCCTGAGATCAAGAATATATTTTCTTATATTTTCTATTGAATGTTTTCAATGTTTTACTTTTAACACTTATGTCTTGAATCCATCTGAAATTGGTGCTATGAAGTAGATACAAATAAATCTCCTTTATTCCATTTGGAAAACCAGTTCTGTCACTATTAACTGATTTCTGCAGTGCTATTTACATATCACAATTCCATATATGTATGAGTCTGTCTCTGGTCGTTTTTTTATGTAAAAAAAAATGTTTAATGTTTATTTTTGAGAGAGAGACAGACAGACAGAATGAGTGGGGGAGGGGCAGAGAGAGAGGGAGACACAGAATCTGAAGCAGGCTCCAGGCTCTGAGCTGTCAGCACAGAGTCCAATGTGGGACTCAAACCCATGAACCTTGAGATCATGACCTGAGCTGAAGTCGGACTCAACTGACTGAGCCACCCAGGCACCCCTGTCTCTGGTGTTTCTGTTCCACTGGTCAGTTTGTCTATTTCTCCATCAAGTTCCACACCATCTTAATTATGACAGCCTTATGATAAGGCTTGATATCTGGTAGGACAGTGTTTCCATCTTACTCTTCCTTTTCAGGACTGATTTGGCTATACGTATACCTTTAGTCTTCCATATAAGATTTGGAATCTGCTTGTCAAAGTCCATACACAATCTTGTTGGGAATTTGGGAATTGCATTGGCTTTATCCATGTATTTAGAGAAAATTGACATGTTTACAATGTCCAGTTTTCCTACCTATGAATATGGGAGGTTCTTGCACTTTTTATGTCTTTTTTAATATTCTGCATACAGATACTGATAGATTATACTTTTAAAAAATACCTGCAAAATGTTTCCATTCTATTTGGAATTTTACACAATGACCTTGCTATTCCCCAACCGGCAGGTAGAGTCTGATTCCCTTCCTGTTGAATCTGGGCTGAGGCAGAAATAATGCCTGATTTCTGAGGCTAAGTCAGAAAGGTCAGATAGATTCCCCTGGTTCTCTGAGGGTGCTTGCTCTGCGGAAACCTCAGCATCATGTGAAATGTCCAGCTATCCTGAGATCCCCTTGTGGGAGATAGCCACAGCCACAGCTGAGCTGTTAGGAACTTGCAGCCTCAAGTGCCAGCCACACGTGTGTGAGCCATCTCAGACATTAGAGCTTTCGGATGACTATAGCCTCAGCGGGTGCCTGACTCAACCACATGGGTGACTCTGAGTGAGAACTGCCCGACTGAGGATGTCCTTAATTTCTGGTCTGCAAAATCATTAGCAAAATCAGATGGTGGTTTTAGATCCTTAAGTTTTGGATGAATTTGTTATGCAGCAACAAATGACTGGAATACAGGGCTTATAGTTATTTTGTTTATCTATTTCACTTATCTATTCTTAAGTACTTTACAGTTTTACAGTGTGTGTGTGTTTGGGAGAGGTTTAAATGTTCTTCTTTTTAATTATGCTTTCTACCGTGATGGTGTATATAGGAATATAATTAATTTTCATTCATAGATCTGTTGCTGATTATCTTTAAGTTCTCTTGTTAGTTTGAACAGTCTAAATCCCTTTGGGCTTTCTATTTATAGTTTATTTTTTTGAGTAATATTTTTCTTCTCTTGTAAGATTACCCCTTTTTCCTGATTTCTTTCTTGCTTTGATTTCTTGTGTTTTGCTTTGTTTTGTTTTTTAGTCAGTCCAGCTTTCTAGTTATTACAAGAAATGGTTATAAATAAGCTTGTTCAAATTTACTTTTTAGAAAAAGATCTTATAAGTAACAACAGATCCCTCTGCAAAATAATTCTTAATTTATACATAATGTTTTTTCAGAAAGTAAAATCTCATTCATTCTGCTGTATTCCAGGATG